ACGGGGGGACGTGGGAGTGGTAGTGAGTGGGGTAAGGGGGGAAGGAAGGTTGGGTTGGCTGGTGAGGTGGCGGGGGTGGGGTGAGTGGGGCGGTGATCGTCACATCCTCGCAGAAATAGTCCGGGGGGGCGATGACGTTGCCGTTGACCTCGACATCCAAAAAAAAACGAGACGACGAGGAGACGGACAGAGGCAGAAGACAAAGCGACTAGGGTTCCTTTGAAGGGAGTTCTAGGGTTTCTTTTTAAAGGGGGTTCTAGGGTTCCTTTAAAGGGAGTTCTAGGGTTCCTTTTTAAACGGAGTTCTAGGGTTCCTTTAAAGGGAGTTCTTTTAAGGGGTCCTTCTAGGGTTCCTTTAAAGGGAGGCCTAGGGTTCCTTTACGGGGTCCTTCTAGGGTTCCTTTGAAGGGAGTTCTAGGGTTCCTTGTTAAAGGGAGTTCTAGGGTTCCTTTAAGGGGTCCTTTAAAGGGAGTTCTAGGGTTCCTTTTTGAAGGGAGTTCTAGGGTTCCTTCAAGGGGTCCTTCTAGGGTTCCTTTAAAGGGAGTTCGAGGGTTCCTTCTTAAACGGAGTTCTAGGGTTCCTTCAAGGTGTCGTTCTAGCGTTCCTTTAAAGGGGGTTCGAGGGTTCCTTCAAGGGTACCATAAGGGGTTCAAAAGGGTTGGAGTTTAGGGTTTGGGTTCCCGAGCGTTTAGGGGATCAGGCCCCTGGTAAGGTCCTCCTTTTTATGGAAGATTCTGGGAAGCTCCTCAAGAAGAAGCTAGCAGGGATTTTTGGGAAGTGGGCCCTAAACCCAAACAAAGGGAACACCTTGAAAAACCTATAACTCCCCTAAAATCAAGCCCAAGGAGCACCTTGAAACACCTATAAACCCCAAACCTTGAGCCCACCATACACCAGCAAGGTCCGAAACCTTAACCCTCTTTTTCTTAACCCCTCCCCCTAAACCCTAAACCCTAAACCTTCACCCCTAAACCTTAAGCCCTAAACCTTAAACCCTAAACCTTAAACCCTAAACCCTGGACCCTGAACCCTAAACCTTAACCTTCATCCTCGGGCCTTAGGTTGCCAGAGGCTCCAGCATTCCATCGTTACTGTAGGGGCCTGAATAATTAAGCAGAGTAGGCTTCTGGGGTTTAGGGTTTAGGGTAAAATAGGGGTTACTTTAAAGGGTTCCTTTTCCTTTAAGGGTTCTATAAGGGCTACTACAAGGGTTTAGGGTATAGTGCCCTTAATAAGTAGAGTAGTTCCTTGAGCAGGTTCCTTAAAGAGGTCGATAAGAGTTTAGGGTTTAACTAGAGCAGGGTTTCGGGATATATTAGTACACTCTAATTAAAAAAAAGGAACTGCCAAAATGGTATAGGTAGTTATTGAATCTAGGCCCCTGTGTTAAGCAAGACTCCGTAAATCATCCGACAGATGGCTCTGCAGGGTATCCCGCTTGCTAAACGAGTGTTGGTTTCTCTCCCTATTGGACCGACCAGGTTTACGGTTTAGTGTTTTGGTCTAGAGGTTTAGGGTGTAGCGGCCTAAGTAATTACCTATACTAGTTTGTGGGTTCCATATTCTAATTGTAGTATAATGGGCCCCCAAACCCCATTCAAATCATTAAGGCCCCTATATTCGGGTGCAGGATTGCTTCATTCCTTCCTTCATCAAGGTGAGCCTCCAGCCGCGCTGCTGCTGCTGCTGCCACGATCCCAGGACCTCGCAGCAAAACGGCACGACCCCCGACACTTGAAACCTGGGTTCTTGACAGAGTTTTGCTTTGGGCTTGTACATGGAAGAAGAGCGTCTACTTGGAGGATCATGGGACTTAGTAAGTAAGGTTATAAGTACCCTAATTGGGGTTATAACTATAGTTACCTTATTTATAACCCTGGTTACTAAGTCCCATGATCCTCCAAGAATGCCTTCAAAGCTTCCTCCTATCTACTGTACTGGTGGGGTTCAGGACTGCTGCGCAAATGCTTCCCCGACAAGCTTTCTTCCAAGTATGGCCAACCCGATGTAATTGGAATAGGATTTTGGGCCTCTTTTATGGTATAGCTATTTGCAGGCGCCCTAAGGAATACTATAGGTCTTCGCTTAGGCCCTTATATCAGAAACCCCGTGCCGAGCCGGCAGAAGGCTGCACGCAACCCTTTCACCGTTGGGAGGCCTTGCGCCCTGCTGGCTCCAACTGCTGCAGCTCTCCCAGGAGACCTTCGGCACGCACGAAGACGTCCTGCCTTGGCTTTTGTTGGGCTTGGTTTGGGGGTGTAGGGTTTGGTAAGTTACCACCTCGAGTTTTGTAGTGATCTACCAGGATTATGTAGGGGTCTTGCTAAGGATCTTGACCTAAGCTACCAGGTTACCACTGTGCGGAAGCCGATAGTCGATAGCCCGTTAGAGTATCTTGAAACAATGGAACCCGGTTTCCCAACAAGTTGTACGCAGCCTTGCTTGTGCCGCTTATGCTCTTCGTCGTTCGTGTGCTTCATGGAAGTGTTGGCTGATTTGCTTATGGGAGTTCTGTGGGACCAGGTTTTTAAAGGTTTCGGTTGGATGTTTACACAGGTATCAGAGTGTAAAGCCACCGTCTAGAGAAGGTACCTCCCCCTGAGCCCTAAATCCCAAACCTATCCTAAGTCCTAAAGCCTGAAAACCTGAACACTGGACCCCAGTCCCTAAATCCCTAAACCCCTGAACCCCAAAACCCCACAACCTATCCCGAGATACAAGGGGACAAGGGAAGCTTAAACTTTAACCGTGAATCCTAAAACCCTAAACCCTAAAGCATAAAACCCAAACTAAACACTCCTAACCTCAAAACCCTAAACCATAAACCCTAAAACCCTAAACCATAAAACCCTAAAAACCCTAAATCCTAAAACCCTAAACCCTAAAAGCCCTACACCTCAAACCCTAAAAGCCCGAAGACCCTAAAAAGCCCTAAACCTCGGGGAGCCGCTTCGGCTTCTGGGCCACTCTGCGCTTGGGGGCTTCGCGAGCTTTGAAGTTTTGGGTTTAGGGTTTAGGGTTATGGTTTAGGGTTTAGGGTTAGGGTTTAGGGTTTAGGGTTTAAAGTTTAGGGTTTAGGGTTAGGGTTTAGGGTTTGGGGGTAGCCTCCTTTTCTTTAAGTAATGGGTGATATAGGGGCCTTAACAATTCGAATAGGGTTTTGTGGCCCAGTATACTATAATTATAAGAAGGAACTCCCAAAATAGTATAGGTAATTTTAGGCCCCTGCATTAATGGGTAACGGTTCAGGGTTTAAGGCTTATTTTAAGTAGTGGTTTAGGATTTAGGGTTTAGTTTAAGCAGTGGTTTAGGGTTTAGGGTTTTGTCTGCGTAGTAGTTTAGGGCTTCGGATTTAATTGAAGTAGTGGTTTAGGGTTTTGGATTTAGTAGGTTAAGTAATGCTGAAGAGCGTGGGGTTTAGTTTAAGTGCTGGTTTGGGGTTTGGGGCTTAGGGCGTCTAGGGTGCAGGGTCTAGGGTCTAGTATGGATACCACCCAAGAGCCAAGAGAGCCCTCTGTTCAAATCATAAAGGCCTCTATAATTGGGGCTTTATGAGTTGGGGTCGTGGAACTAAAGATGGGGATAATTCAGACGCCACGCCCCAAGTCCCAAAGCTTAGCTCTTCAGAATTCTTACTTCCCCAAGAAGCCAGGGAATTTAAAGGTTAAACTTTCAGATTACTACTAAACTATAAGAACCCAACAAGTTTAAAGGTTGGCTATTGCAGAACGAAGGATTTGGGGAGTTTCACCATAGGTCTAAGCCCTATCGGGCCCCATCGGAGTCTCTGGTTTAAACCCCAAGCCCCACAACAGCATTTTTTATTCACCGTCGTGCGGGCGCCTAAAGAGACCCTAAACCCTAAAACCTACGCCCTAAACCCTCAGCCCTAAACTCTAAATTACTAAACCCTGCCTAAGCCCTAAACCCTAAACCCTAAGCCCTAAACCCTAAACCCTGAAGATTTTCCTGCCGAGAGACCTTGTGACCAGAAGCCAGCGAAAGTGGAAATCCCTCAGCAGGCCAAAGGCCTGGCCCATGCAGGGTCGCCGCTTCATTTGGGGTTCAGGGTTTAGGGTTTCAGGGCGGGGTCACATTAGAATCATGCAAGCAAAGCAAAGTAGGGCTTGATTTAGGGGTTCTGCTTATAGGGATCATGACTCTAGGTTTAGGTTTTAGGGATCGCGACGTTCGGGTGTAGGGCTTCATTCAGGGCCATTCAGGGTTTACAGATGATGACTTTAAGGTTTGGATGGACATGCTGCCGAGCACACAAGCCAAACGCAATCTATTTGCTGCCAAGAAGGGTTCCATGTAATGTGACAGTGCCACTGCAAGTTGAGCGGAATAGCTTTGGACAAGGCCGGTGCTTGATTTCAACATTTTGCAGGGTTTATGGCACAGCCGCTTTCTTGCAGTTGGAATCCTCGCACCGACCGGCGACTCCCCCGCTCCCCCCAGGCACCAAAACAACGTTAGGGTTTAGGGTTTAGGGTTGAGGGTTTGAATGTCCTGCAGCAGTTGATCCGTGGTGGCTTCTTGGCCAGTGGCTGCCGGCGACAACCTGCAAAGTGAGCATGCGCCGGGACACGGGGGTTTCCGAAAATAGGGGACCCTAATATAGTACCCTAAATAATAGGATCCCTATTACAAGGACCCCAAAATAAGGTACCCTAATTTTCTGAAACTCCCACACGGCTAGAGCTTCTGAGCAGTACAAGGAGGTCGCTAGGCCCTGAGCAGAGTCCTGAACACCAGGCACAAGTCAAGTGCAGATCCTGCGGCAATTTTACCAGACAGGAGCCTGATACTATGGAATCTGACATCGTAGTGGACATTTCGGAGTTGGTTCGCCAAGTTTGCGATCTATCGCATACAGCACATGTACGCAGAAAGAGCTAACTTGTATCATAGAACGAAAACATCACTCGCTCTCTGTAGCCTAAACCCCATGAACTTACCATAGACTCCAACCCTTTGAGCCCCACACCCCTCAACCCTAATCCCACAAAGCACCAAACAACCCAATAAGAACCCTACTTCTCAATCCTAAACACCAAAAACTTGCACACCCTAAGCCACAAGACAGCAATACTTGAAACCTTCTAAATTCCTCCAAACCCTTAAGACCAGTAGAAGGCCGGACAGCCTCCCTAAACCCTAAACCCTAAACCCCTAAACCCTCAACCCCAAACGCCAAAACCCTCGACACCAACGCCTTCCATCCTAAGCAAACCTCATCCTGAAATCCTAAAAGCCCCCGAAGCTCTAGATCCTGGGTTTAGGGTTTAGGGTTCGGAGTTTAGGGTTTTAGGGTTTAGGGCTTAGGGTTTAGGGTTTAGGGTTTACGGTTTAGGGTTTGGGGTTTAGGGTTTAAGGTTAAAAAACCTACTCCCAAAACCCTTTAAGCCCTTGTAGAGGTACTACTACAGTTACTGAAGCACCCTATACAACCCTTAAAAGGACACTTGTACAGTTACTACTAAACTTACGCAAGCACCCTGTACAACTCCTGCAGGAAAACTAAAGTCTAATATAGGGACCTTAATCATCAGGATAGGGTTTTTGAGGCCCTGTATAGTTTTACATAAGTACAATAAGGAACCCTCCAAAATAGTAATAGTAATTATTTAGGCCCCTACATAAATAGGTGACGGTTCAGGGTTTAGGGGCCCTTTATATACAATAAGGACCCCCCCCCCTCCCGAAAAACAAATAATAATACTAATAATTATTTAAGCACCTGCAACCCTAAACCCTAAACCCTAAACCCTAAACCCTAAACCCTAAAACCCGACCTCGTGGCAGCTGGCAGCACCAGGATGTCCTGCAAGCATCGGCTCTGGCATCCCAGGGGCTCCGACTGAACGGCTCTAGTTAGGGTTTAGGGTTTAGGGTTTAGGGTTTAGGGTTTAGGGTTAGGGCTCTAGGGGTTTAGGGGTTTAGGGGTTTCAGGGTTTAGGATGTTAGGGCTTAGGGTTTCCATAGGGCTTTACTTCCAGGGTGTAGGGGATTTATCAGGATTTAAATCAGGTCTGGTTTAGCTTTTCTGTAAAGGGTCTGTGCGATTTTTGTAGGGTTTGAAAAACGTAGGTTTAGTGCTTTGGCGGATCCCTTGACAGGTCCATGCGAGTGTTCCGTTAAAGGCTCTTTTGCGAATTCTACAGGATTTATGAGGATTTAAGGTTTAGGGTTCGGGTTTAGGGTTTAGGGTTTGGGGTTTAGGATTTACAAGGGTCTTAGGGGTTTAGCATTACACTTCTCTGTAAGGTTCATAAGTTTCAGCGGGAAGTTTACTAGGTCTGCAGGGCTTTAACCCTAAACCCTAAACCTTTTTGCGGTTTCGAGTTTAAGGCTTCAGCGCCTCGAATCTATGGGCTTTATGATTGCTTTTTGCGGTGCAGGGTGTTAGGTTAGGAAAGCGTAGGAAGGTTGGGGGTTTAGTTTGGGCACTTGAAGTCGAGGGCTTCGGGACTTAAGGTTTAGGTTTAGGGACTAGGGTATAGGATTCAGCGCAAAGCTATGCTCAAAGCGTGCAGCTTAACCCCCAACTCGGGGCAGCCATCAAAATCGGACATACGATGATGGCCCTCAAGACTTTTTTGCTCATCCACATGAACCGTTTCCGTGGGCCGGAGGGCGGAGGGTGACGTCGTGCGGAGCTGCAGACCCTTCATGTACCTGCCCTGCTGTATTCTGGCGGGCACACTTAAGACCATGATTAAGACCATGAAGCTTAGGTCCGCAACGGTAGGCTTTTGCTACTTCTGTTTTTGCCTAGTTGCCAAGTGCCCTGGGAGAGTTTATTTATGCATGTCGATCTACGTCCACTTCCCCCCCCCCACCCCACGCAAACCTCACAGGAAAAGTAATCAGTCATCTGCTAAGTTTGGGGATAGATAAGTAAGTCGAAACCAAATCGGCGTGCGCAAGTCCTCCAGAAAGTCAGACCTCCCGGAAGTACTTCAAGCTTGATACCGACACTACGGTTACAACAATATGACTACTTCACAGAAATCATGAACAGTGTCGTCACAGTGATCTGGGTCATCCATGTCAACGTCTCATGATCAGTTGGGCTTTCGCTTCATCATCATCATCATCACCATGGTCATCCGACCATCATCGTCCTTTTCGCCATGTCTACATCATTAACCCTAAACCCTAAACCCTAAACCCTAAAACATCACAATTTCTGCTACTCGGAAGACTTGGGGCCGTCGTGCGG